ATGAGTCTAAGCTGGGAAGTAGGATATACTACTTCAACAGTACTGGAAGCCCACTCCCAGATATGGCTGTCTCTGGCTTTGACTCAGAGCATTGCTAGTGTGGGGCTGACTAGACATTTAATCCATGATTTTTATTCCTCCAATGTGAAGTTGTCCTATTTATTCTCAGCAGCAAATCACAAGACTTGGAAGCACATGTTTGTTATGAAATTAGAAGAAATTGCTGAATTCTACAACTTCTGCATTGGTGGTGTTAGGTCATAGGTTGGACTTGATCTCACAGGTCTTTTCCAGCCTCAATAATTCTGTGATTCTGTAACATCAGACACCACACCTGATGCTGAACTGATTACACAGAATCACAGAATCCTAGGGGTTGGAAGGGACCTCGAAAGATCATCTAGTCCAACCCCCCCTGCCAGAGCAGAATCACCTAGAGCACATCACACAGGAACACATCCAGATGGGTTTTGAATGTCTCCAGTGAAGGAGACTTCACAACCTCTCTGGGCAGCCTGTTCCAGTGCTCTGTCACTCTCACAGTAAAGAAGTTCTTCCTGATATTTACATGGAACCTCCTATGCTCCAGTTTGCATCCATTGCCCCTTGTCCTATCACTGGTCATCACTGAAAAAAGCCTAACTCCATCTCCCTGACACTCACCCCTTACATATTTGTAAACATTGATGAGGTCACCCCTCAGTCTCCTTTTCTCCGAGCTAAAGAGACCCAGCTCCCTCAGCCTTTCCTCATAAGGGAGATGTTCCACTCCCTTCAGCATCTTTGTGGCTCTGCACTGGAATCCCTCATTTAGTAGTGCTGTCCATTTGCATATATTAGCAAAGGTTTCCTGAGCCAATGTAAGAAAAGTTGTTTTCTTGCCTAACAGACCAACCTTTGCCCCACTCACCAGAGGAAAGACATTGAGGTTCTAGAGTATGACCAAAGATAGGTAATGAAGTTGGTGAGGGGTCTAGAGCACAAGTCTTAAGAGGAGGAACAAAGGGAACTGGGGTCATTCAGTCTGGAGAAAAGAAGCTTGAGGAAAGACCTTCTTGCTCTCTACAACTACCTAAAAGGACATTGTAGCAAGGGGGGATGTCGGTCTTTTCTCCCAAGTTACAAGTGATAGAACAAGAGGAAATGGTCTTAAGCTGTGCTAAGGGAGGTTTAGATTGGATATTAGGAAAAAAATTCCTCACTGACAGGGTTGTCAGGCACTGGAAGAGACCACCAAGGGAAGTGGAGGACTCACCATCCTTGGAGGTACAAAAAAGTCACATAGATGTGGTGCTTAGGAGTATGGTTTAGTGGTGGACTTGGCAGTATGCTAGGTAACTGTAAGACTTGATGATCTTGAAGCTCTTTTCCAACAAAAACAATTCTATGATTCTATGAGTCTAAGCTGGGAAGTAGGATATACTACTTCAACAGTACTGGAAGCCCACTCCCAGATATGGCTGTCTCTGGCTTTGACTCAGAGCATTGCTAGTGTGGGGCTGACTAGACATTTAATCCATGATTTTTATTCCTCCAATGTGAAGTTGTCCTATTTATTCTCAGCAGCAAATCACAAGACTTGGAAGCACATGTTTGTTATGAAATTAGAAGAAATTGCTGAATTCTACAACTTCTGCATTGGTGGTGTTAGGTCATAGGTTGGACTTGATCTCACAGGTCTTTTCCAGCCTCAATAATTCTGTGATTCTGTAACATCAGACACCACACCTGATGCTGAACTGATTACACAGAATCACAGAATCCTAGGGGTTGGAAGGGACCTCGAAAGATCATCTAGTCCAACCCCCCCTGCCAGAGCAGAATCACCTAGAGCACATCACACAGGAACACATCCAGATGGGTTTTGAATGTCTCCAGTGAAGGAGACTTCACAACCTCTCTGGGCAGCCTGTTCCAGTGCTCTGTCACTCTCACAGTAAAGAAGTTCTTCCTGATATTTACATGGAACCTCCTATGCTCCAGTTTGCATCCATTGCCCCTTGTCCTATCACTGGTCATCACTGAAAAAAGCCTAACTCCATCTCCCTGACACTCACCCCTTACATATTTGTAAACATTGATGAGGTCACCCCTCAGTCTCCTTTTCTCCGAGCTAAAGAGACCCAGCTCCCTCAGCCTTTCCTCATAAGGGAGATGTTCCACTCCCTTCAGCATCTTTGTGGCTCTGCACTGGACTCTTTCAAGCAGTTCCCTGTCCTTCTTGAGCTGAGGGGCCCATTTCTTTATAACTCTGCAGGGCCCTACTGTACATTTGTAAGGAACAGCTTTCTTTTTTCTTTTTTTCCCCCTTGAGTTCTCACTTCCGCATCTTGCTTTTGTAATTACTATTTATGAATAATTAAAAAAAAACAACAACCCCAAACAATGCACTATATTCCCTCTTCATTATATTCCAAACATGCGTGCTGTTAGCAGTCATGAGAGAGCAGTGTGAATTTCAAACAGGAAAATCCATATCTGATGGATTTCATCTACCTGACTGAGTAGGGTTGTGTTCTCTGCCCATGAACATGTGATTTTAATCTGAAATATATGAGGCATGCACCAAGGAGAACATACTGTAATTTCAACATCTATTGCTGAGGACAGCACCACATTGCCCTCTGAGGAAGGACCATCAGCACTCGGTACAACAGTAGGGATGGCCTTACAGCCACCTAAAGAGGTCTTGCCTTCTTGAGCATTGCGCAGTATTATATGTGTATCTCAAACCTAAAAAGGTTGATATCCATGTTGTAGTTAAAAATAAATGTCTACACATTTGATTAAATATGGAATTTGAATAACAATTTAGACCTCTGCTTATGAACACAGATTATGGTTGTAGCTTCCAAATGCATTTTTTTGAGATCCTTGTAAACATTCTACTAGGTTTTACATGCATTTGTACACACACATCTGTATAATGTGCATAGTTAATTATCCATTTAACATATGAAGTTCTGAGTCATCAATTTAACTTTTTCAGAAGACTAAAAGAACAGCAACCCATAATGATTTTTCCAACCAATCAAAAAAAGACAAATCACTCTTCAGGCAAATCAGGAGTCTTGACTTAAGCATACCTGGACTTGGATCTTTGCCAACCTTTTAAAATCACCTTTCAAGAAATTTCCCAAAAGTTTACAGAAACATCTCTGAGCTCTAGATAAAGCATCTGACAGGAAACTGTAATGTTATTTAACTACAAAATTAACCCTGAGACTGTTTTGGTGAAGAAAAAACTGCAAAGTTTAGCTCTTTGGTAGTATTCAAATTCAAAGCTTGTGGGTGGAGTTGGGGTGTGTGAAGGTGCATAAATAGGCAGTAGGAACAGCACCGTTCACACTAGGACTGGGAACACCTTCGCATCCTGGCAGGCATCTGGGAGAGTAAACAAGGTAAGGCACCGCATGCTTACTGCTTCAGAAAGTGCCTGGGGGAGCCATGAGCCTGGGGCTGGGGCATCTGAGCAGTGGAAAAAAAAAGACTGCAGCAAGAGGCACAGTTATCTGCACAGCCTGCTGTGAAGAAAATTGTGTAGAGAAATGTTGGCTTTGCAGGTTGGAAGGGCCAGGAGAGGGGAGGGTTTTTTTGAGGAGGATGTAAAGCTTAGCAAAAGTGCACATAGACTTCCAGAAGAAAAGTTTTTAAAGAGCAGGTTTAATGTTTCTCTGTCTTTGCTTTCTGCATTCTGCATCAGCAACACCATAAATTCTGCCTGGTCTTTGATTTCCTGGTTGTTCCACACCTTCTTTATCTTTTGTCTTTTTATAAAGAAGTATTACTTCCGCCATGCAGCTCTAGCCAAAACAACTCTTGAGGCAACCCTGAAAATCCACTGGGTTTAATTTAACTTTATGCAATTTTCTTCCTTGCTGATGAGACTTGGGGCAGAAAGGCAGTCTGCTGCAAAAGTCATATTTTATGCCCTTGAAACAGTGACTCTGGATGTTTGAGGTCTTTTGGACCTCCCAGCAGGAAAGACCACTCTATCTGATGGAAACTCAGATAACACCTCACTTGCAGTTCCTACCCAGAAAAAGCCTTCTGTTTCCTTGGACTTTAATTTTCATTTTCTGAATATTAAAAACCGTCAGCCTGTTGTCATTTTTGCACAAATCTTTTTAATTTTTCGCTTATTTGTTTTGAAATATCTTAGATCTTCTTTCTGTACCATGACATAGGAGGAAATTTGCTGAGAAAACATAGGATCATGCTGCCAAAGTGTTTTACACCTTCAAAGAAACATCTCAGCTGAAACACTGAGGACCCTCCCATCAGACACATCTCCACCTCCATGCCCTAGAGTCCAGCTCAGGAAAAGTCCTCAGCTTTGAGTGGCTTAAACCAGCAAACTGCATTTCAGTTCTCACTGTTCCACACAGCAACTCCCACTCACTCTTTTTATTATAGATTCTATTGGTTCTATCTTTCAAGATTAGATTGTCAACAACAGCATTGAGCTGTGCCTATGCCAAGGGCTCACTAGAGAGCCTAGCTTAACATGTTGACTCCCCATTGGAGTTGCTCCCCCTGCAGAAAGGAGGAAGAGCTGAGACAAGTTAATTTTTCATCAGCAGGGCTGCTCAGGTGCTTGGCTGCTGTAACACTGGGAGAGTGAGGTATAACCATGAACTTAACAGGACTTGAAAGTGCTTTTGGAATGGCCAAAATTCTCTAAGAAAGAAGTTACTCTCTAAGAAACTAACACATAGATCAGTATCTTAAGAGGACCGCAGCCCAATGGCATGAACAGGGCAGTAGAAGGCAGCAAGGTCCTTCATGGCAATTTGCTAAGCAAACCTCACACTTCCTTGAAGTTCCCCCAGGCCTGGGCCCCTTTCCTGGAGCAGTTTATTTCAGCCCTGACTCACCCTGCTGCATGCTTTTGACTTGACCTGTGCTCTATCAGTCCTTATCTGCCGTGTGCCCCAAAGCTGCTGCAGGCTGGGAGGCAGGGCAACACGCACCTTCCCTCCTCTGTTCCAGGAGCAGCCATGGAGAAGAGTTACGTGTCCATGTTCCTGCTGCTCATGGCCATCTCCTGTGCTCTGGCAAAGGATGTGGGCAAGAAAGACACAAAGGACACTACTGCTAAACCCAAACTGCCTCAGACACTCTCCAGAGGTAAAAACAAAACCAAACAAACCACCAAAAGCTTTTTTTAAAAAAAAAAAAAAAAAAGGGTGCAATCTGATAAAGCTTTTATTTCTATGCTGAAAATTAATTAAGAAAATTATTTTTCTTACAACACACCCTGTAAATACATGTTCTAGTATTTCCCAGCGTCCCCCTCCCCCTTCACTCCTGGTTCACACCCCTCCCTGGCAGGGCAGGGCAGGGCAGGGCAGGGCAGGGCTGCGAAACCCCTGCCTGCCCGCCCCGCTTGTA